AATATGTATAACTTCGAAATAGAAACTCCCATTAATTTTGCATCAATCCAACCTTCTCAATTTACTTTTCTTCTTCTTCTTTCTTTCTTTCGCGCAGCGTTCCGTTCTCGAAAATTCTGTTCCGCCCAAGAAAGGTAACGAAACACCTGATCTTCCAATCTCACGTTTTAATTTATATCTCTATAATCCTCCCTTTTTCTCCTTTTATCTATTTATTTATTCGCTTCGTGTTCGCGCATTCATATCACTCGGCCTCGTGCTATTCACCACACGCACAATCGTATATATAATACACATAGGCGAGATGATAATACTCGTAAGTTAATATTATTATTATTATTATTATTACGCAGGTCCCTCGTATGGAAAAAGGGAAGATATCGCTATGATAATTTGTTTTTTTTTTTTTCCTTTTCTCTTTTTGCATTATATTATATTAAGCGCGCGGGCGCGTGAGAGAAACGTATTTACAACAAACGAGAAAGAAAAAAGCTGCCGAGCCCGCGCGATTTAACACGTTTATTAGGTACGTAAATATATATATACATATATGTATATGTGTATTATTTACGCGTATGTGTACAACATTGCGATGTAAAGGTATACACAACGTCGATAGTTATCGTTTCCTTTTACTGATCGATTTTCCGACGTAATATAAAATGTTCGTTTGGACGTTCTTCATCGTTTAAACAATGATAATAATATTTCTTTGCAGCAGATATATCCGAGTCGACACTTTTTTCAATGAATAATTTTTTAATAAATAAATTTATAATTCTATCCGATCAATTTCAATATTGTTTTTTTGTTTTATAGATAGAGGATATTAAAAATATTTTCGTTTCGTTGAACGAATTATATACCAAGAATAGCGAACACTTCATATTATCGAAATGAAATAAAATTTCTTCTATGTATATACGTATGTATGTATAAGATTATTATATGTATAGAACAATTACTTGCATATATAATATATAAATATATCGCCTGTATAATATTATATTAATGTTACATGTACAACGTGTAACACGATATATAATATTATACACGTGTGTGTTATGATACAGTACGATATTAAATTATACATAAAGAATGTACTATATATATATATATATTTATATACGCAGAGAACGAGTGTAGAGAAGTATTAGAATTTCTACAGTTCTACGCATATTCCTATTCTACCTACATTATTACGAAAAAATAGGAAAAATATTCGTTGTACTATGCGACGATGCTAACGAACGATATTTAAAAAAAAAAAAAAAAAAACTACTTGTGCAGTGAACATAAATTATATCTTTATCTTAAGAGGCTTGCCAACGCTTGCTCGTTTATTATTTATCATTTACAATATACTCTATATACGAAGGATATAAATATTCCGATACTTCTGCTACAACAATCTCTGCCCGTCGTACTTTATTATAGATATATTTAAACAGTTTGCAATGTTTAACTGTAACGTATGTACAACACACACTCATCGTAGAAAATTCTAGAATGATCGATCGATAATTGAAAATATTGAAAAGGAAAGAGGCATTTTTTTTTTCTTCCTTTCTTTTTTCTTTTTCTTTTTTTTTTTTTTTTTTGCAATGTAACATTAACAAAACAATTACGTTACGTATCACGATTTCATGAGTAGGGAAATCAGCTTTGTTTCATCGATAACGATCGTCGACGTTGCTTTATTTTATTTAATGCTAAAGATCGATTTATTAAATAGAGGCCAACTCGTAGAAACGAAATCATCAATGCGAGTGTATACAAGATGTGTCGTGGGCAAGAGTGAAATTATTGATAAGTGGAATGGGAGGAAAAGTTAAAAGCAAAAGTTGTAAGATTATTATTAAAGAAAATCTTAAAAAATAATAACATATAAATTAATCTCGCTTTCTTTTCTTCGATTCATTTTTCATACGCTCGTCGAAAAATGACGCCAAATTTCGAAAAAACATAATTTTTAAGACGAATCCACAAAATATTGCCCACGTTATCACGAAATCTCCTCTATATTTATATATATATATATATATATGTATGTATATAATTATCTTATTATCACGAGATAAAATTTTCGTCTCTGCTAACGATCGAACGGAAAAAAAAAAAAACGGAAAATCTGCGATCGCCTACACCGCAAAGTACGAGGTAATCCTAACTTTTCTACCGCGCCGCTTTCACTCGAGTGTAGTAATACACACATTTATCGAGGTTGGGGACGATCTAGGTACGATTTGCGTTACGAATTTTCACGAGAACGAGGAGGGAGGGGAAGGGAGAGGGTAAAAACTCGAAAGTTCAGGCACTGTAAAACTCAAAGCACTCACGACGACATTTCGAAGGATGCGACGAACGAACAGCGTTCAAGGATTTTCACCGTTTCCTGGAACCGATGCGATCCTTTTTTCTATTCTTCTTCGATTCATCATTGAATTACTCTGAAATGCAGCTGAATCGTGCAACGATAGAATCGACCGAATCATCTTCCAATATCGAATTCTTTTTAATCGACGCATCAGCGAATCCAATGAACCGTTTCGAAAGCCTTGGGCTGATCGCTTGCACCGTTTCCGCCGGGAATCGTCCAATTTTTACGAATCGCGCGCCGACGACACGAATTTTCGTTTATCGCTCGCGGCATCTCTGAGTATTGACGAGTAGGTACGAAAATGCGATTTCGACACGAGCGTAAAATTTAACGAGCCTCTTAAATTTTTGTTTCCTTTCTTTCTTCAACATTTTTCCTTTATATTTCTAACGATTTCTCCTTCAACGAGATCCCCATTGAGATTGAACGATTTATGAAAAAGCGAGTCGAATTATTATACGATTTATACGAAATTTGGATATTGGTACCGGTTATTATAATTTTTTCTTATGCTTTCTTAAGCTTTTCAAACGAAAAGAATCGCGATTGAAATTAAAGATAAATATGAATGCGACGAACATTGTGAATGGGATTAATTTAACGAGAAGAAAAAGAAATGAGTATAATCGATACAAATATCCCAGAGGTTGAAGCTGCGAATGATGGAGGTGTAATTTTCGAGAAAACAATTTCGAAGGACTCGTGAAGCTTTACGTATCGAATCTCTGACGCATCATAGTTAAATAGTTAAATATGCATATATGTATGTACATAATACGTAATAGGAATACGTGTTAGGGCTACGTAATTATCTAAATATTGCACGATTCTCCATCAAATCGAATCAAACGAACGAGATTCGAACGGAACCCTACGTACAAAACTAAGTTCATAAAAATACACATGATATGTATCATCCTCGAGATATGACCACTATCATTTATCAATGATGACAAAGATTTCTGAAAAAATTCTAAACCGAGCTAAGCTAACCAACTAATAAATGTAATAGTCCTCTAAATACATCTCATTCGATACTCGTTAAAAATTATAAATATCAAACTGTATAAAATTTCTGATTACAACGATTCAACGATTCAAATCAATCGAAAAAAATTCCTTAAGCCTTTCCCTAAGATCAACGGTATTAAAGCTATCAACTATGACGATAAACAATGCTTAATAAAGAATCAAAAATATCGACCATGATATGGAGATGTGATTATGGATATTAATTAATTCGCAACAGTATCGATATACATCGCACATTAGGAGAGAGGCTTATGCAGCCCCGCCCCCCCTCTTACACACGTCATCTATACAATTATCTACGTGAAAGCCTCCATAGCTGCTAATTTGTCGCCTTAATTAGTGATATGCTTGCTTCCGTTTTCAGCAATTGAAACACGAATGAAAAAAAGGAATAAAAACTAAACGATTTTGCCGATCTTTGGTGGCAATACGCAAATACGAAGGCCCTTGCTGAGGAGAAGCCTCCGTTGCGACTGTGTGTCCTTCTTCTTCTTCTTCTTCTTCTTCTTCTTCTTCTTCTTCTTCTTCTTCTTCTTCTTCTTCTTAAATTCGATCCTTGACATTTATTCTATTATGATGATATTCTATTATTTCTCTTTCGTTCATTTCGTTTCATCGAAATGTCACGCTCCTCTCCTATGTGTCGATATGTACGTCATGTTTCCAATCGCACGATGACGATTTCGTTTAAATATCCTCGATATTTCTCCGACTATAGCTATCCATTTGCTATGCGACATGCTTCTTCTCGATTTCGCCGTTTTCGAAAGAATTTGCAAAATTCTGCGTTGTGTCGTCTATCGCATCCGTTTCTCTCTTCAAAAAATAAAATTCGAGTATGAGAGGGAAAGAGGAAGAGATATTGATCAACAGTTTTCACACCGATGATTTATCGATCGTAAAAAAGAACGTAGGATAATTTATTATTAAAAGGATCGAAAGTGAATTAAAATACAT